AGGTGCTTAGTAACTTAGTAGGTGGGGTCATTATGGGGGTGCTCAAGAAGAGTTCCCATAGAATTGCTTGACCTTAGGATTGATCCTAGGAGTTTGTCTAGAGATAAGGTATTCACCTCACTCACAATCACTCACAAATATAAACCCAAAATTACTTGACTTTGATCCCTTAATCATTTGGGAGACTCATGTAGATGTTCCCCGAAACCCACTAGCGACCTTAGGCTAGGGTTTAGCTAAGTCCAGTACATAGAGGACTCAAATGAGGTTTCTCAAATGAGGTTTCCATTGGGTTTCCATTGGTCCATAGCTCATTTATGGTGATTGGTACCCCAATTCAACAAAAAATACCCTACTTGGTCTTTTTGCCCCTAAACTCCCCCAAATTACCTAAGTACCCTTAAAACCCCAAATTTGGCCAAAATTCCCAAATTTACAAAAAATACCAAAATTTGTTTAAAAATCACTTCAAAGCTTTTGAAAACATCCAAATTACTCAAAGTTACCAAAAAATTGCCAAATTATCAAAATGCCCCTCCTTAGCCCAAAATTTCAAAAATTCCAAAAAATTCTAAAAATTCCCAAAACCTTCCAAATATTCTCAATTTCAGCTTTCTCAACTACCATGTAACCCAATTTGACCAATTTGACTATTTTGACCAAAAAGCCCCAAATTGCCCTTACAGGACCTTTAAAGGCCCAATTTCCTTAAACTCACTTCAAATGTCCATCAATTTTTTCCCAATTTCCCCAATTTCAATTATAAACTCAAATTCACCTTCCATATGACCAATCTAAATCAAATCTAAGCTCAATTGGTCCATGCTTTAAGCTCAATTGGTCCATGCAATTGGTCCATGCTTTGAGCCCAATTTTGATCTAAATCAATCCCTCAATTTTGGCCTTATGACTTTGTTCCCCCAACTTGAATCCCATGGCTTACTCCATTGGTCTCAATTTGAATCCTAAACTCTTCATAAGACTCTTACACATCAAAATTGATCTTCAATTGGCCTTGTTAAAGCCTCAATTTTATTTAATTTCAACCCAAATCCAAAAATACCCATTTTTGCCCTATATTGGCCATCTCTTAAAACTCCACCAAATTGATTGCCTTAGCCCCAAAATTTTCACTCCATTCCTTCATTAAAAATCTTCATAACATCTCCCTTGATCAGTTGGACCATTTAATTGAGCCAAATTTCAATCCTAGCTCAACCTAAGCCCAAGTCTAGTCCAACATGCCCAAATTGACCAACATCTCAAAATCCTTCAATTTGAGCTTCCAACTGAACTCGAAATTACTTCAATCCTTCACAAAAAAATGTTCATTACAATCATCTACACAATATTGATCAATTAATTGGGTTTAAAGTCATGTCTAGCCTACCAAATAACCCCTTAAGCCAAATTGGTCAAGACAAGGCTACCACAACAAAATTTGGACATTTTTGACTAGGCTAAACCACATGGAACCACCCAAATAAGGCATGGACCAAAGGATCCCCAAATCAAGGGATTTATTTCCAAAATTGCTTATGCAGAAATGATTTTTGCTAAAACTAAACACCTGCCTAAATAAACTGTTGTGATAGATTCCCCTAGCTCACCTGACCTCTTGGCCACTTCCCCTAGCCTTTCCGGCCGGCCTAGTCTTCGGATGAGCCAAAATTGTGAGCCACCACCCAAAATTTAAACCCAATTCAAACCTTGAGGCAACCTCATCACATTTTAAATTTAGAGCTTCTCTGCCCTCCACATAAGAAAATTTTACACCCCTCAGTTGGCCCAAAGAGTAACCCTGAGCCATTTTTACAAAAGCTCCACCTCCATGGTTATAAAAGGGTGCTAAAAAATTTCTTAAGGATAGCCTTTGAATTTACTCCCTGAGCTTCATTGAGACCTCCACATTGCAATCCAACCACTCCATTGCCGTAATTCCCCTTGTTGGAGTTCAATTTTGGAGCTCATATCCTTGCCAGAGACACGACATTCTTCACCACACCTCCACAATGTGCCAAATCCAAATTAAACTCAACCACACCATCAACACATTGAACTAAGACAAAGCCCTATCAAATCCCCCTCATACAGAGCCACTAGGATAGCTCAAGACCAACACCCAAATCCGGCTTTGATGGAATTTGGGTCTAGACCTTTCACCAGGATAAGAGGCTACTTCCTTAGCCTCCTTGGACCTCCACAAAATGCCGAGCACCTATGATTGAAGCTTCCATTCTCATATCAATGTATTGAACTTACCATCTTCCCGAGCCTATTTGGATTCCCCATTTGATTAGGGTTAATTTAATGACATGTCTACCATATCGATGTGTTCGTCACACTTAGGCGAGTCCATAGGATAAAACCCGAGGTCATTGGTTTGAGAAATGAGTGAGATCTTAGGATTTTATTGTTAACGATCATGAGTTAGCCTATTTGGGGATGATGACGGGGAGCTATCCAATCGCGCCTTTATCTCATCAATGGATGAGATCTAGCTGGAAGAACTCTCGGTGCGTGAACCGCGAGCTGCGTGACATGCTAAGGTGGGAAGCACAATGAATGTGAGCACTTCGCGTCGCGTTGTCGTTCGGAGCTGCCTAAGATGAGGTGGCGCTGCGCATTTAAATAGATAAATAGGGAATTAAATAAATCAAAAAATGATCCTTAACTTCAAAAATCCATATCTTGGTGTAGAAAAATCACAAAAATAAAATGAAAATATCCACTTGCTCAGTGAACACAGGAGAACAATATGAAAATAATTTTAAGTTTATGTGATGCATATTTTATATTTAATTAATTAAACACTATTTTGACTCTTTTGATTCTCCATGCATGTAGGCATTTTACCATGGCTTAAAATGTTGGCATGTTATTACCTCTGTCTTAGGGAACATTCTCTGATTTTTTCAAAGTCAAGGGAGATCTTTAGACAGAGATCCATATTTTTCAAGTTTATGTCTATTTTTTACATAAACTAATCATAATAATTAGCATGTTACTTAGAAAATTCCAACATAATTTTGGAAGGTTTATTATGGTTAGAGAAACCTTTGGAAAATGTTTTATGATCTAAGTCATTACGAATGCTCCTAATTTTCAAAAACTCTAGAATGCAAATAAAGTTAATTTTATGAAACACAAACATCTAAATGACTTGGTTTTTAATCTCCACTATAATTTGAAGTTCAGAGAACTTCCATAAAAATTTCAAACTATTTGGAGCTCATTTGATAATCAAAATGATTTTCTAAGTTAAATGTCATTTTTAACACTAAAATGATTTTTAATAATTATAATATAACTCAAAAAAAATATAAAAATTGGTTTTGGGAGTTCTCTGTGATCAAATGAATTTTATAAAAATAAATTGGAATTAAAATTAAAATTCCATTTTTAAACCTTTCCTTAATATTTAAATAATTAAAAATAATAAAAGTCATAAAAAAATAAAATTTATGGAAATGTTCTAAATTGTTTCCTAATCACTTAAAAATAATTAGAATATTTTTCCTAATTGTCTGAGTGAAGATGTTGAATTTTTAAGCTTGAAATAATTTTTAAAGGCTAAAAATGGATTTTAATTAAAATAATTCTAACAATTCAATGAAAAATAAAAAAAAAGTGAAATTTGTTTCTCTGGGTTCCTTCACCTTAGTGAGATTTAATAAAAATGTGAAACTTAATTTTCCATATTTAAAATATTTTATAATTAGTAAATACTCCAAGACTTGAAATAATTCTAATAATTAAAATAAAACTAAACAAATCATGAAATTTGGTCCTAATGATTCTCTAGTAAAAGTCTACTTCCAATAAAAATTTTATGGGATTAGGTTTTACCTTGGTCAAGTTAAGGAATTCTCTTTAAAAAATCTTATTTCTTGCATATAAATAAATATATAAATTAAATTAAAATATGAAAAATAACATTTTCTCCTCTGATGTCTTAATTGACCCATGAGTGAGGTGGGATACAAATTACAAACTCATTTGAATTAAATTTGATGAATTTTGAAGTATTAGAGCCTTAAGGGAAAATGTGTAATTTTAGAAATTTAGCTTTAATTAGCAGTTAGGCTTAATTCAAGAAAGGGAAATGGGTAACCTTTGATCTCGATCAACATATTTGGATGATTGAAACACAAGGGATTAATTGGTAGAAACCAATGTCACTTTTCTTAATTAAAAGGATAAATTTGCAATTTCCTTAAATTCTTAAAATATAGAAGTCTATTAAAATAAATGATCATAGACATAGGGGTATGATTTTGGGTGTTGATAACTCACTAATTTAATACCTCTATTTGATGTTTAAATGGCCTTATAAAAAAACAAATCATCATCACTTAAAATCCAACTTTATATATATATATATATATATTGGTAAAAGGAGCATGAGACGGCTCCCTACATGTTAAAAAGGGTGAAATTACAAAAAAGGTTGGTTGGGAAGTCCCCAAACTAGAAATTAAAGTACAAAATTACTCACTCATAAGGGATATACCAATCGCCAAAACTCCCATAAATAGGAAGGAGAAGATATATACATACACCTATGTATATATATTTTTCAACAAACAAAGTTTGAAAAATCAGAAAATACAAATCAGCGCCCAAGCAGAGCAAAACATCTCAACACCCTGTAACAAACAAGTAACACAACCTCAGTATCAGAGCAGGACTAATCATGGCCTCAAACACTGTCCCAACAATCATTTTTGCACTCTTAGGTAAGGAATTTGAAGTTTGTCCCCCTGAGTTAGTAAGTGGAGGGAGGGGGAGAGGATTGTGGATACCTCAGTGTGTTCAGCATTAGCACCCCCGACAAAATTTGCAGGTCTATTAGCTTCCCTATACACAAATGAGAAATGAATCTTACTTTCAGTGCTGAGCTTTTTAATTATGTGAATCCATTGAGTGATATGCCAAGAGGAAGACATCTTAAAATTTAGTAACTCCACCAGCAAGGAGGAGTCCACTTCAGCAACAATTCACTGCCACTTATTCTCCTTAGCAAATTTTAATGCCCAATATAGAGCAACAACTTCAGTTTCCAAAGCATCTTCAGCTATATAAGGGGCCTTATAGAACAATAAAGTATTCCCTGTGTGATCTCTAAAAATTCCCCCAATACCTTCTCTCTTGTTTGTGTAGCTTCCATCAGTATTGACTTTAATGAAAGGATAAGGAGGTCTGTCCCATCTCACCTTAATGATCTTAATGTTATTAGCACCCATGTAAGTTATGGTTTGCAGGATCTTGGGGAACTTCCTCCAGTTTATCAGTTTATTTAGGTAGGACCAGAAGTTAGTCATCACCCTTGTAGCACTGGCCTCCCTCTCCTCATGTTTGGCCATGTTTCTAGCCATCCAAATAAACCAAGCAACAATGAAGGGAATTGGCATGAGATTTATCTCTTTCCAATCTTTAATACAATCCGTAATGTTATCCCATCCAATGTTAATCAGGTTGATTTTCATTTGCGAAGTCAATCTATTCCAAACCTCCTCAGCAAAATTGCATTTGAAGAATAAATGATCCCTTGAGTCCTGATCAAGCTTGCATAGGTGGCATCTAGAAGGACCTTTCAAGCCTTTTAGTTTCAGAATATTATCAGTAGGAAGAAGGTTATTAAGAACTCTCCAAGCAAAGAACAACATGGAAGGGGTAAGGTGTTTTTGGCAATAGGAAACATTCCACTGGCAAGTGTCCCAGCTGTACAAATAGTTCTGGATATCTTTTGAGATACTAGCTCTGGTCCTATTCATCAAATTAAGTTGATCATTATTTTTTTTGTCAAATTGGATAGTAGATATGTAGCTGACAGACTGCTCCATCAGTAAACTCCTCAATAAGTCCTCAGACCATACATTGCCAACCCAACAGTTCTTGACCAAAAAATCCCCCTCCTTTTCATCCTGCATTAGGACACCAATTGTCTTTCCAAAAATTAATTTTCCCTTGTCTCAATTCCCATCTTAGCAGTTTTTCAATGTCTTCTCTGGCCTTAAGCATTTGGACCCAAATTTTGGAGTCTCCCACCTTCCTAGTGACCTCCCCAGGGTGAACAAATTTACAGTATTTGGCCTACATGAAATTGGCCCATAAGCTTTCATTTTGTCTGAATTTAATCCAAAGCTTACGCAGGCTAATGTGTTGCATCTGGTGCAAACCTTTAAATCCCAAACCACCAGCCTCCCATGGTTTAGCCACTTTTTGCCAACTTTCCCAAGTCACTTGTTTCCTGTTCCCAGCCCACAGAAATCTGTTGAATGTTCTTTCCAGCATCAAAGAGGTACTTCTTTTCATTGTAGCCACTTGGAGGACATACAAAGGGATAGAGGTGAGAATGCTCTTAAGTAGAGTGATCATACCACCATTGGACAAAAAGGAGTTCGACCACCCCTGAAGAGTAGAGGTTATCTTATTAATAACCTCATCAAATTGGATCAATTTTGTTCTTCCTCTAGTTAGATGAATCCCCAAATATTTGAAGGGGAGACTCAAGCTAGAGAAACCAGTGTAATAATGCATCCATTGCTTGGATGGTAGAGAGGCTCTTTTGCTGATCAAAATCTCACATTTTTCCTTGTTTACCTTTAGACCAGACACCTGTTGGAAATGTTGAAGGGACTCCATAATGAACTTGGTAGTATACTTAGAAGCTCTAGTAAACAACAGGATGTCATCAGCATAGAACAGATGGCTGATGTGCATCTTAGCTCTATTGTGATAAGAGTTTAAGCTTTACTTATTCTCCTTGCAGTCCATTAGTCCAGAGAAGTACTCCAACACCAGTATAAGAATGGTGGGGGATAGTGGGTCCCCTTGTTTAAGCCCTCTGGTAGCTTTAAAGAAACCATGGGCTTTACTATTTATAAAAATTGAGTTTATGTTATCCTCAAGCCATCTCTTAATCATCTTGCAGCACTCCCAACACCAGAGAAGTGGACTACAGCGTGCTAGCTCATCTTAGGAATTTGCCGGCCAGACTAAGCATCTACGATGCTCTGATCCTGTCAAAGGAGATGAGCGAGTCTCTGGTTACAGCTTTGCTTGACCCAAAAATTTGCTTAGCTCAGTTGGCCAGCACATCCTCAGATGAAGTTTGTTCGTTGAAAGAACAGCCTGGGGTAACCTTCACAGACGAAGACTTGTTGCTCGGTACCGCCGACCACAATCGCCCACTCTACATCTCCATCAATATCGGCAGATTTGTGTTATCCAGAGTATTTGTAGATCCTGGAGCATCTCTTAACTTGATGAGCCTACGAACATTGGATTATTTTGATATTGAAGCACAAGAACTTATGGCCGATAAAATGATGTTAAGAAGATTCAACCAAAAGGGAGAAAGAGCCCTTGGACCAATTACACTACTTATGAAGGTTGGAGAGCTCGTGAAAACCTCTAAATTTCATATCATTGATGTCAAGACCTCTTTTAATGCTCTGCTGGGTTGACCATGGATTCATGAACACAATATGGTTCCATCATCTTTACAGTAATGTATCAAATACCGCAAAGATGGTCAAGAAAATTGCATCAAAGGTGACCTACAACCATTTTCAGTGCATGACAACCATTTTTACAACCATTTTCAGTGCATGAGGTTGGTATCCACGAAGATGTTGCCTGCTACGATCCTCCAAAGAAGACTGTCTTCTTTCGTAAAGTTATCACAAACAAAGCTGAAAATTCAAAAGAATTACAAAGGGGAGGCCATTCAACTCTGCTTTAGCGATCTTCCACCACTCCCATACAATGAGTTGTTGAAAGTTCCTTAAGTTTGCACACCTGAGGTCGAGGCTGGGTATGTGGACGAGGAAGGATCAATTTAATTATTGAATGGACTAGGCCAACCATCAACGTTCGTGATGAAGACAGTTTTGAAGACGAGATAATGATGACAAGATAGAAGAAACCTCAGTACGAGATATCCCTAGAAGAAAAATGAATATGAAACAATGTATGATCAAATAAACCACTATGTGAATGCAATGACCCTTACTCTGATTCTCCAGCAAAAGGTCAATAGTTTAGAGGTCAAGGAATTTTGTAGTGTTGGTTCAAAGACGATCAAATTTTACCGCGCTTCTACCTCTACTAAGCTTGAAAAACATGTAAATTTGGATGATGATCCTAATGAATTAATGGAATTGCCTTTTGGTTACTTCTCGTCTTGTGTTCAAAAATTAATTCAACAGGGACACTTACCAAAAAAAATGCCAAAAGATAAATTTCATCTTTTTGAAAAATTATGGAATGGTAAAAGTCGAACTCCAAAGTCAAAAGAGGGTCTCAGATTTGGTACTATTGGACCAGTCGATGATTCTGAATTTTGCATGGTTGTTACTGGTGAGTCAGAGGAGGATTGCCTTGATATAGAGGATGACTCTAATGATCAACCAATAGAAGATGCTCCCCCAGAATTTCAGAAAGAAATTAAATCTACTGTTGATGAATTGAAAGAGACTAACCTCGAAACTGAAGAACAACTCCAACCTACATTTATAAGTTCTCTACTCAATGACGAAGAATCTGTAGAATTGATCAAACTATTAACAAAATTCAGAGATTGCTTTGCATGGAGCTATTGCATGGAGCTATGATGAAGAGCTATGATGAAATGTTAGGACTATCACAAGAGGTTACAGTCCATAAACTCGAGGTGGACAAGAATATAACCCCAGTAAAATAAGTTCCGTGGAGAATTTTCCTCAAAATAGAATAACAAGTCATCGCTGAGGTGAAGAAATTAATAGATGCCAACTTTGTAAAAGAAGAACAATACCCCATGTGGTTAGCTAACATTGCACATGTTTAGAAAGATCCGAGTTTGTGTCGACTTCAAAGATTTGAAGAAGGCATGTCTAAAAGACGAGTTTCTACTACCAATACCAGAAATGATGGTGGATATCACTTCAACACATGAAATTTTCTCCTTCATGGACGGATCGTCGGGATACAACCAAATCAAGATGGCTCCCGAGGATGCAGCACTTACAGCCTTCAGAACACCGATCAGAATTTTCTGCTACACAGTGATGCCTTCGGCATAAAGAACGCAGGAGCAACATATCAGTGCGCAATGAAGCAAATTTTTTACGACCTCATCCATAACCAAGTAGAATGCTACGTGGATGATATGATCATCAAAAGTAAATAAAAAATAGCCCATTTGTATGATTTGAGGATCGTGTTTGAACGGTTACGATGATATGACCTTAAAATGAATCCCTTAAAGTGCGCCTTCGGCGTTACTTTCAGGAAATTTCTGGGATTCGTTGTCCGTCATCGGGGAATTGAGATCGACCATAAAATTAAAGTTATCTTGGAAATGAATCCTCCTAAAACCTTCAAACAACTACGTTCCTTCCAGGGGAAGTTAGAATATTTAAGACGCTTTATTTCTAATATGTCAGGTAGGTGTCAGCCTTTCTCGACATTAATTAAAAAGGACGCTAAATTTATTTAGGAAGAGAAATGCTAGCGGGCTTTTGAGGATGTTAAACAATATTTAATGACAAATCTTATCTTGGCAGTCCCTATCCTAGAGAAACCATTGATACTTTATATTGCGGCCTTAGACGACTCTCTTGGAGTCCTCTTAGCCCAAGTCAATGATGAGGGTAAAGAAAATGCGCTGTACTACTTGAGTCGTCGCCTAATACTGACGGAGATAAGGTATCCACATATTGATAAGCATTGTCTGGCATTGATTTTCGCTGCCCAAAAGCTTAGACATTACATGTTTTCTCATAAGATTACCCTAATCTCGAAAGTTAATCCATTGTAACATTTGATGACCTGACCAACACTCTCCGGACATCTAGCAAGCTGGTCAGTGATCTTATTGCAATTTGATATAACATTTGTTCCCCTCCATGCTATCAAGGGACAGATACTAGGAAACTTTCTTGCTGCACACCCACTGCCAGCTGGGTCCTCTTTCAACTATGAGTTACCGGAAGAGCAAATATTACAAATTGAATTCTCTAGTGCGCAATGCTGGGAGATGTACTTGGATGGAGCTTTGTCAGCCAGAAAAGATAAAGGATCAGGCACAGTCATACTAGGCAAAGCAGAAATTGGTTTGATCTTTATCACGCCAGATAAGGGTATGTTGAGGTTCTCATACCACCTGATAGAGTCGTGCACCAACAATGAAGCAGAATATGAAGCTTAAATCACCGGATTGGGAATGACAATCTCAATGGATATAACGAACATTGCCACCTATGGCAACTCCCAACTCATCATTCAACAAGTCACTGGACAATATAGGATCATGAAATCAAGGTTAGCTTAATACTATCAGTACACGATGAAGCTCCTGGAGCAGATCCCTGATGTGATTTTCTACTGAGTTCATAGGGGAGGTAATGCCCATTCCGACGCTCTAGCAAAACTTGCTAAGGAAATGGCATGTCCCCCGAAGGATTCGATTGAAATCACAGTTCAAGGAAAACAAGTCTTGTCTCAGATTGACCTTAAAACTCTACACAAGATCGGAATAGAAGAAACAATAAATACAGTTGCCGACATCAATGAAGATTGACGCAAGCCATTAATAGAATATTTGAGTACTGTAAAGCTACCAGAAGATAATTCTGAAGCACATCATATCACAAGAAGGGCTATGTCTTACGCCCTGATGGGAAACGTTCTATACAGAAGATAATTCGACTAAATTTGGCTACGGTGTTTGAGCAGAGCCGAAGCACAGGATACCAGAAGATAATTCTGAAGCACATCATATCACAAGAAGGGCTATGTCTTACGCCCTGATGGGAAACGTTCTATACAGAAGATAATTCGACTAAATTTGGCTACGGTGTTTGAGCAGAGCCGAAGCACAGGATATTGTCAAAGAAGTACATGTTGGATTGTGTGACACTCATTAGTCAGGGCCGAAAATGAA